AGAGAGGGAGAGAGAGAGAGGGAGAGAGGGAGAGAAAGAGAGGGAGAGAGAGAGGGAAAGGGAGAGAGCAGGGGGAGAGAGAGCAGGGGGAGATGGGAGACTGTATTCGGGGCGCGGCCTTTCACGGGCAGCCCCGCAAGGACAAAAAGGGGGGGAGAGGGAGAGAGAGAACAAGGTCAAGGACAGGAGGTGAGGGGGCCAGCAGAGTGCTACCCTTGACCGTAGTAGGTGTACTGTGTACCGTGGGAGAAAGGGCAGGGCTGTGGGGTTAGGGATGCGCATGCAGAGGAGGGGAGATGGCGTCTGGCTGGAGAGGTGTCCGAGTTGGCGGGCCCCTCCTTGTTATGGAGAGGGTGCGCAGACGGCCGGCGGGCCAGGGGCATGGCGGAAAGAGGGCCTGGCGTACCTGCGGAGAGGAGGCTGTCTGTGTCAGGTCCGGTGGGGGGACATGGAAAGGGGGAGCCGTCGAGGACCCAGTCTCAACGACCAGCGGCGGCAGATCGAAGTCCGTCTGTGGCAAGGGGCGAAGCATGGCGAGTTAGTTTGGGCCGAGGAGGACAGGAAGAGCAGGCAAGCCAAGGAGGAGGCTTGGCCATGCATGGGCACGCACACTGGTCAGAGTTCCGAGCGAGGCCGGGCTCGGGGAGGCGGCCAGGGGCCGGTCCAAGAAGCCCGACCCATTGGACGACGGAGAGCCGATGGCCTCGGAGCCGCCGCTGGTTCCGGGAACAATGAGGATGGCTGGCAGGTCATCGGCCTGGGCGGACTTCGCCGCATGAGGCTGCTGGCAATCTGCCAGAGGCACGCTCGCTTCGGGAACGGCTGTTGGCCCGGGGCCGGCCGAGTTGCCAGCTTCCGTCGATGGAGGAAGGGCCTCGAGCAGGGCAAGCCGACTGTTGGATCGGCTGACCGGGGCATCGGTCGTCGCCGGCTCGCCGCCCGAGCCTGCATACATGTCGGCCCCCGGGTATGAGGGGCCAGGAGGCATGGGAGCCGGCGGCGGCGGCGGCGGCGGCGGCGGAGGAGGAGAGCATGCCCCGGGGCCGTGCTCGGTCGCCATGCTCCCGTGGGGCTGCGGAAGATCATGCCCATGCGGGTGCGCATGGGCATGGGCGTGTGCATGCGGGTGGTAGTCATGCTGAGTGGGGACCGTTTGGTAGGCATGATGGGGGTGGTGATGGGGAGCTGAGGGATCCGACGGCGGGGGTGGGGGCGGCGGTGGTGGCTGCTGCTGTGGCTGCTGCTGCTGCTGCTGCGGGTAGTGGTGATGGTGGTGATGGGGTTCCGGCGCGACCGAGTGGTAGTGGTGCGGCTGGTAGTGATGATGGTGGTGATGCGAGTCCGAGGGGACCGGGAGGTGGTGCTGATGCTGATGCTGATGCTGATGCTGGTGGTGATGCTGCTGCGACTGCGACTGCTGCTGCTGCTGCTGCTGCTGTTGCTGTTGCTGCGGCTGCGGCTGCGGCTGCGGCTGCGGCTGCTGCTGCTGTTGCTGCTGCGGCTCCTGCGAACGGGCATGGTCGTGGCCCAGATCGCCGGTCGGAGCGGAGTGCACGTCGGCCGTGCTCGGCGAATGCAAATCCCCGGCTGTGCCGCTGCCATTGTCCCCCCCACCTCCGCCCGGGGGATGGGGCGACATCAGGAGTGACGACGGGTGGTGCATGGTTGGCGAAGGGCCCGCCGACAGGGGAGCCGCCGACGGAAGAACCGGACTTTCACACGAGGGCGACAGGAGGTGGTGCGAGGAGCCGCTAAAGGACAGGTGTGAAGGAGGGCCGGCCCCGCCGGCGCCACCGCCACCAGTGTCACTGGCACCGCTGCAGCTGTGCAGGGTGGCCGTTGGCGAGGGCGGCATCGAGCCCGGCAGGGAAGATGGCAGCAAGTGATCGCCCGTCGAGAAGGACCCAATGGAGAGGGATAGTGACGGTGGGCCCGGGGCAGGGCCCGGCGGCGGGGGAAGAGCCAGCATCGGCGGCCTCGGGGCAAGACCCATGGGCTCTGGCGGCTGGAGGAACTTCGACCGCAGGTAGAAGAGACAAGCCGCGGGGTCGGCCTTGGCCAAGGTGAGGACAGTCCGAGCGTTGGAGGCACTGCCTCGGACATAGTCCACCGCCCAGACGAACAGCTCCTGGTTCGAGGGGACCGCCGGGGCGAAGCGCCCACTTGGCGAGCTGGCCCGGCTGTCGGCCGGGTGAGGCTCATCACCGGGGCCGCCTGCGCCACCGCCGAGAGAGGTCGATGCCATGGCAAAGAGCATGGGGACCAGGCACTGGACGGCCTCCTCCTCGATGCGGGAATCTTCCCGCGCGGCGGCCAGCTGGGCTTCATAATGAGCGGCACTCGGGGGAGAGGCATGGTGTGAGGAGGGTGCCAGGAGCGGGGGCGGAGGCAGCGAATGCATGTGCCCCGGGGGCAGGGGCGGAAGCATGTGCCCGGACGACCGGGAATGATGGCCGGCCTCCAATTGCAGGTCTGCCATGCTGGCCGAGGGCGAGGGGTGGGTGCTGGCCACCGGCGAGATGAGCATCGGCGGCGAAAGGGGCGGAGGCAGCGGGTCCCCATACGAATGGTGGTGGTGGTGGTGGTGGGGGGCGGGGTGGTATGCGGGCCGAGCGGGCACAGCCGACAGGCGCCCCGCCTCGGGCTCATGATAGCCATGATGGCCATGGTGCGAGGGCATGCCGGAGGATGATGCCGATGAGGACACCGGCTGCTGGTGCGGATGTTGCTGCTGGGACGAATGATCGCCGCCATAGTGGCCGTGGTGGCCCACCAGGTGAGGCTGGTGGTGCGGGTGTTGCTGATGCTGCGGCTCATTGCCCGCCATGTGGGGCTGGTGGTGATACTGGCCGAGGGACGGCGAGTCGGTCGGCGGGGCTGGCGGCCCGAGGTACGGCGACGCCGGATGCGAGGCAGACGCCGAGTAGGAGTCGCTGCCGGCCACCCCGGCATCATGGTACGAGTAGTGCGTCGGGGCAGAGCTGGCATCCGGGTTGGAGCCCCCGTCATGGGGCAATGCCGGCGAGTGATAGGCGTCGAAGCCGCGGGCCCCGGCGGAATCGACGCCCGCTTGCGGCGAAGGAGGGCTCGTGTGGGTGGGCGACAGCGGCGGACTGACAAGAGGCATGTCCTCGGGCGGGGGGAAGGCATCTTGAGGCGGGTGTGGCTGCGGCGGGGGCGCCGGGGACGGGGGCCGGGGCGGTGGCGACTCGGAGGGCGGTGGTGGAAGGGACACACTATCTTGACCGAGCGAATGGCCCGGGACTGTGTCGACCACCAGAGCGGGAAGATCCGGCGGCAGGTCCGGCTCCGGAGGGGAGGCCGAGCCTGGATGCAGCGTGGGAGCTTGGTGAAGCTCCTCCGGCTCGGACTTCGGCTCGATGCCCGGCTCCGACGGGGGGGCCAATTCGGACCCCGGGCTCGACGGGTCGAGCTGGGACGAAGGTGCAGCCTGGGACGCCTCCGAGGGGAGATCCGTTTCGTGGGATTCGATTGTCTCGATGGAGCCGGTCGCCAGCGGTGGGTCCTCCGGGGGACCGGGTGGCCCGGGAAGGGCGCCCGGCCCCAGGGGAAGGGGGTCCACAACCGCGGCTGGCATATCCCCTCCGCTTCCGGTGTCGCGGGACAACTCCCCGGAGGGAGAGGCCCCGCTGACTGGCAGGACCGTGGTCGGGGCATCGATCGGCGTGGCCACTAGACTGGGCTTCGGGGAGGGAAGCGGGATGGCCACCGTGGAGCCGGTCGTCGGGAGGGCCGGCAAATCCGGCAACAGGACACCCGGAGTCGCGGCACCCGGCATGGACCAGGCCGAGGCGGGGTGCAGCGGCTCGGAAAATGCCCCAGCCGGGGGGCGTGAGTCGATTGAGGGGCCCCTCATAGCCGGGGGCAGATAGTGCCCAAGCTCCGAGGAGGAGGCAGTCGGGGGCTCGGAGAGTAACATCCCCGGCAGGTAGGTGCTGTTGGGGTCACGCGCAGGAGGGATGGCCGTCAGCTCGGTCGCCGAGGCCGGGGGATCCGCGGAGAAGGTGGACGTGAGAGCTGACACTGGCATCGAGGTGACGGAGGACGGGGCTACCGGGGGCAGGCCATAGGCGGCAAGCGAGTCGGGGATGGTGGCCAGGTGTCCGCCGGGCGCGGCGGCGGCGGCGGCGGCGGCGGCGGAACCCCCTTGCAGGCTGGAATTGGCCATGGCGGCGACGACCGCGGCACCGACGGCGATGGCAGCGGAGGAGGGCACTGGAGATGGGAAGGTGTCAGCAGCAGGGGTCGCCCCTTGGCGAAAGGGACGGAGGGGCAAAGGGAAGAAGGGGGAACAGAGCCCGGGCGCACTATAGGGGTTGTATAGACTGGTGTAGCCCAGGTGCGGGGAGGTGTGATGTGACAGCAGCGGCGAGTAGGACGAGTGAAGGGCCGGCGCAATCGGCATGTGCGGCAGGGGGTAGGCGCGGGCTGCTGCGGCAGCTGCGGCGGCCGCAGCCGCCGAGCTGAAGGGGGGCATGCTCGACATGTCGGTGCCGATGGCCGGGGGAGGACCGGGTGCAGTGGTGGTGGTGGTGGTGGCGGCGGCGGCGGCGGCGGCGGCGGCGGCCGAGGCACTGGCAGTCGCGGCAGCAACGGCGGCGGTGGCGGTACTCTGGCTGGGCGGGTGGATGCGCGGCCGGGGGGCTCCGCGCGCATTGCCCTGCTCGGCTGTAGTGGCAGCGGGGGCACTGGCCTCCGAGGCAGTCAGCGGGGCGCTTCCGGTGGAAGGGGGATCCGAGAAATCGGGGGAGGGCGTGCGCGAAGAGGCCTGGGCTCGGGAGCCGGGCGCGGTCGCCGCTGGAGGGGCGTCAGCGGGAGCAGCGCGCGTGGTAGAGCTGGAGGCAGATGCCGGCGGTGGATCGACCAGGTTCAAGTATTTGCTGTGCCACAAGGGGAGGGGGGGGGGGGGGGGGGGAGGGAAAACAGAGATTCGAAGGATGAGCCGTGCATGCCAAGGACCCGAAGGGAGGGACAGGGAGCAAGGAGCGAGGAGAGGACCAAGAGCAGAGGAGGAGCTGCGTACTCAGGCCGCTGCTTGAATTCCGGGCAGTGCCCGCTCAGATGGTTGCTGAAAGATCCGGAATTGAGGAAGGCCTTCGAGCAGGCGGGACATGTGAAGGAGAGTGTCTGCAAGTCGCGCCGGAAGGACCGTTCTGTGAAGCAGGAGTATCAGCCACAGGTGCACAGAGAGGAGAGGGGAGGAAGCGCGTGTGTGTGTGTGTGTGTGAGTGTGTGGATGTGTGGATGTGTGGATGTGCGTGCGTGCGAGCAGCTGGGGGGTATGGGCGCGAACGAAGGTCCATTCGCACCATAGTGCTTGTCCTGGAAGAGGGCCCGTCGAATGATCACCATCTTGTGGACGTGGCGCATGTGGCGCTCATAGCGAGCGTCATTTCGGGAGATCGTGCACCGACCATTGCTGTCGGGAAAGCGGCAGGGGAATTGGCAGGTGGCTGGGGGATGGGGAAGCAGGGGGCAACAGGTCAGGGCTGACAGGACTCCAGTGACGAGGTGGCAGGCGGTGTGGAGAGAGGGAGAGAGAGAGAGAGAGAGGGAGAAAAGGAAGAGGGGGGACCAGGCGCAAGGAGGTATGGCGCACAGTCAAGCAGGGCGTCCGCCTCGTCGGTCGGCGACCGACGGACGATGGCAAGCGAATCCTTCGAGGCACTCGGGGCCGGAGCCGGGGCCGGCGGGGATGAGACGCCCAGGCCGTAGGCGGCCGGGCCTTGGGCCGAGGAAGATGGCGGCGGACCGCGGCCGGCCGAGCCCCCGGTCCCAGGGGCCGATGGCGTTAGCGCCGGCTGCGCCGGGTGGTAGCCGGCCAGGAGCCCAGGCGATGGAGCCGCAGGCTGAGCATTCATGAGAGACAACTCCGAACCGGACTCAGTTAGAGGCCCGCAACGGGCATATGGGAGAGAGATGCGGCGGCAATGACGGCGGCAGCGGCGGCGGCGGCGGCAACGGCGACGACAGGAGACGACCGTGCGAAGGGCGAAAAGGAGGGCGGTGTCGGGAAGCGAGGGGGGGGGGGCGAGGGGGGGGGTAAGGAGGGAGGTTTGTCTTGGCCAAGTCAGGACCCACAGGGGGGAAAGTATGGTGCGAAAAAAACCGCGAGGAGGGGCGAGCAGGGGGAAGCCTGCCGTCGCCGGCCAAAGTCAAGGGGACTTCGGCGATGGCGAGCGAGTGCGGATCGGCCATCAACTGCCGGGCAGATTGGCAGGCCCGGGGCTTCCCGGCCCCTTGGCCCAGGCATGGATGGCGCGCTGGTGTGGACTAGAGGCAAGTCTCTCCATTGCTGGGGGGAGACGAGAGCGGCGCGCATGGCAGATGTGCGAGGGGGGCCGGGTGGGCTGGGGGGGGGGGGGGGGGGGGCAGCCGAGGCCCGGACCGCGCGAGGGGGGAGGATGGTCCACGCGGGGCGGGGTTTCGTATCCAGCGTGGGATCGCCCGAGCCTCCGATCGCGTACGTGCGGGCCCGCCTGCTCCGCCACTTACACGGGGCCACAAAGATCCGCCGGCAAAAAAAAAATCCTGCCGACAGCGGGACCGCGGGGGAGGACACACGCGGCCTCCAGCGCCCTGCCGCCCCCCCCCCCCCCCCTTCAAGCCAACGGGTGACAAGAGAAGCCACAGGCTAGCCCGGAGAATGGAACCACAACAGGCGTTCGCCAGGCCGCGGGGACCCCCTGTGCTCGGCGGCGGACCGGGGAGCCGAGCACACACCGGCGCCGGGGGCCCCGGGGCGCCATAGGTCAGAAGAAGAGGGACAGATGCTCGACCATGTCCCTGAGGCAGGGGCCTGGAAGAAGAGAGCAAGAGAACGAGAACGAGAGCGAGCGAGCGAGAGAGAGAGAGAAAGAGGGAGAGAGAGAGGGCAAGAGGTAGTGCGACAGAGGGTGGACGAGAGAGGGCTGGCCCGTCAGGTGCGGTGGGACAGGCAAAAGAAAACATCCACATGGAGCGACCGGCGCGCGGTCATGGGTCCTTCACGTGTGATCGTGGCTCCATCACGCCGTCGTTAATTAGGGTTGCCCAGACGGAGAGTCAGGGAGCGCGGAGAGCGGAGAAAAGGGGGTTGTCTGGTGGTTGCCCGCCCCTGTGGTGGTGGCCTAGCCTCCAGGAATTGGGTGGCCCGAGTGTGTGCACAATACGGGAGGGCACTCTGGGAGGGAGGTCCGAAGTAACGGGTACCCTATGAGCGGGAGAATGGGGGATGGCGAGGCCGTCGGCGGGGGGGGGGAGTGGGGCACGGTCCGGGACCGGTAGAACCGGCGAGCCGGCGGTCCTGGTGTTTCACACGCGCCAGTTTCTCCCCCCCCCCCCCCCCTGCCTGTCTGAGGACGGACTGAAGGGCCCAAAGCAAGCAGGCGGCCGGAAGGAGGGTGGGATGGCGCCAGCGCGTCCCCCCAGGGGCCGCAGCCGAGCGTGGCGGAACAAGATTGATGGCCTAGTAGGCAGGCGTTGTGCCTGGGCGGGAGCCGCCGCGAGGGCATGGCATATCTCTCCCCCTCCACTCTCTCTGCCCCTCCCTCCTTTTGTCCCTCCCCCGCCTCCTTTTTCCCTCCTCCCCGGCATCACAGGCCGCGCAGAGATCCGCCCCACCATGAACTACGACGACAACATCGACGACGACGGGTCCGATCTGGACGACTTCTACCCCGATCAGACGGATGTCATTGACTCTTCCGGTATGTGAGCATGGGTGTCCTCCGGAGGCGGGGTGGGGGCACGCCGGCCCCCTTCCCCACCTTGCCACCCGTCATCCCCTCCCCTCGCAGCCCGCATGTCCTTCTCACGCGATTGCACTCCCTCTCTCCCCTGGCACCGCCGTCCGTCGCCTGGGCCAGCCATTCGCATGCCCTTCGACTTCTCGGCGGCGGCGGCACGCGCCCGCGAGGACTTCTCCCGCTTCTCGGACTCGGCCCAAGCCCCGGCCCCGGTCCCGGTCCCCCAGCCCAAGCAGCGCCAGGCTCCGGCCCCGGCTCCGGTCCCGGCCCCGGCTGGACCCGCTCGCGGTGGCCTGCCCGCACGGCCCATGCATCCGGGTGCCACCCCGGGGGTCCGGCCTCCTCCGGCGGCCCACTTCCCCGGCGGCTCTCCGCCGATGGGGCACCACCAGCACCCGGGTGCCATTCCCTCGGCCAGGCCGCTGCGCATGGGCCCGGTTCCGGGGGCCCCGACGGGCGTCGGGACGCCGGTCCGGCCGCCGGTCGCCGGGGCCATCCCCATGGCCGGTGACTCGCCTCCCGGCCAGCCATCCTTCTCGGCGGTGGCGGCCACCTCGGCCCCGCAGCAGCCCACCCGGGTGACGGTGGCCTCGTTGACCTCGCCGGTGGCTGGCGGAGCGATGTCCGCCCCGGGCCCGGCGCCCACGGCCAAGCCCAGTGCCCACAGCGGCATCATCGGTGTGGACCCGGAGTCGGCGCCGCTCCCGGCCCACCTGCGGTCCATCACCTCGCAGATGGCCTCCGACACGCCGACCGGCTCGTCCTCCGAGCTGACGGCCCTCGAGTCGCTGGCCGCCTCGTCCAAGCGTGTTCCCCGCTGGCAGCAGCAAATCCAGCGCCGGATGCTGACCAACGACGATCTGCTTCCCTCGCGCCACCGGTACTCCGGCCCGTTGATGTGTGTCTCGGACAAGGCCTTCCTCACGCGCATGCATGTGTCTCTCCTCCAGACCATGACCCCCTATGTGGATGACTACTACTGCCTGATGTACTCGCAGCGCGATGAGCCGCAAAAGAAGCCGGCCTCCGGGGCCGACACCCCGGCCGCGGTGGCCGATGCCGTTCAAAACCCCCCGGCCGCCGATGCCGCTGGGACTGGCGAGGCAGCGGCCGCTGCCTCGGCTGTTCCGGCCTCCGGCACCAGCGCCGCCGCCTCGGCCACCTCGGTGGCGACCGCCGCGGCCATGGGTTCCGCTGCGGTCCCCACTTCGCCCAAGCCATCGGGCGCCCGGCCGCCCATGGCCACTGCCGATGGCGATGCCCCTTCCACCGGTGAGGAGGAGCAGGAGGATGCCGAGCTGCGGCGCCTGCGTCGCGCGGCCGAGGCCTCCACTCGCCAGCGCGAGCTCTACCGCAACTTCAACCTCTCCCGGGCTACGCCCACCGGCCGTGCGTTCTCTCCCTCTCCCTCTCCCTCTCCCTCTCCCTCCTCCTCCCTCTCTGTTGAAGCCCCTGCCACCCCCATGCCTCTCCCCGCCAGCCGATCCTGACCTGATGCCCCGTGTGCTTGATGGTGTCTCCATGCCGCGGCTCCACTCGGCCCTTCAGGCTCCGAGGGTCTCTTCTCATCCAGTCTCGGCACCACGATGAAGTTCCGCCGGCCGCCTCAAATGTATCCCGGCCTGACGACGCTCCTGCGGTCGGACAGCGCCTCGCAGGAGGCCGCCTCCAGCACTGCCGGCATTCCGGAGGCCCCGGATGCCGGCTCCTCACGCAGCCAGCATCTGCGCATCCTGCGCGCCATTGAGGCGGTCTACTCGCGCATTCTGCGCTACGAGGATTGGATGGCCCATGAGACCTCCGGTGTCCAGCTCACGTCGGACACCAACTTCAAGTCGTGCGCCCCTCCCCTCTGTGTCTGTCTGCTCCCTCTGCCTCTTTCCCCGCTATTCCCCCCTTCCCCCTCCCCCTCCTCTCTCCCGGTGAGCGTAAGCTCACGCTGTCGGCCGCCAACACTCACCCTCTCTCCATAGCTCGCCACTGGACATGGAGAAGCTCCGCCAGGCGGTCTTCAACGAGATCATCCTCAACGAGGAGGTGTACGTTTCCCTCTTGGCTGCCTTCTCTCGGCCCTCGTCTTCCTGGCTCTTGGAGGCCGCTTTTCCCTTTCTTCCCTCCGCGCGCGCGCGCGCGCCCCCTCAACCCCTCTGACCTTTCCCTCTCCTGCCTGCTTTCAGCGAGTCCGACCCCGAGTCCATCCTCTCGCATGCTCTCTCCTTCCTGAGCTATGATAAGGGTGTTCGCGCCATGCGCCGGGTGATCCCCCTGCTGGAGCGTGAGCAGCTCCTTGGCTTGCTGCCGGTCATCGTGCATGCCTTTGCCTCCTTCGCATACCTGCATGACACATCGGACAAGGCTGTTCGGCCGAACCACCAGTTCTCCGAATATGTGGTCACTCCCCTGTCGCTGCTGCTGCTCGATCTCCAGACCGACGAGCTGATTGTCTTCCTTCACTCCTTCCTGGTCCTGGTGAACGAGCGCATTCTCTACTCGGCTCTGTCGGGGCTGGTACGCATACACCTATTTGACCCTCCGCATGCCTGCTCCTCCCTCGCCCGCTCCCCGGCCTGCTCGCGTGTACCGACCTCCGGCCGTGTGTTGACACTCCCCCAAAATCCACCTCCTGTGTGTCCGACACTTGCTCTCCGACACAGAGTGGCATCACCCTGATCAACCACTTGCTCTTGCGGATTGCCATTCTCCACCGCTCCGGCCAGTTCCACTACAACGATGACAATGGTCGCATCCTGTGCGTGCTCTTCCCTTTTGGCCGCTCTTTTCCATTTTCCCCCTTTCGACTCCCCCCCCCCCCCCCCCGCCTCCCGTGCTTGCTACCATCTGACATGCCTTCATTCCCGTCACTTGCCGTGTGCCCCTCCCGCTCCTGTGTGTGCGTGTGTCCGTTCCCAGTGCCGCCCTCGCGACTCGTCTCCTGGCCACCATCCGCGGACAGATGAGCGCCTTCTATGCCCACCACTCGTCTCTCAATGGCGAGCCCGGCCGCCGGGCGGTGTGGCATCTGCTTGTCTGTCTGGCGCACTCGGTCCCGGATGACGAGTCGACCCGGGCCCTGCTTAGTGATGATGGCGACCCGATGAAGGGCCCCTCGCCGGCTATTGCCGTGTCAGATGAGATGCTCAAGCAGGCCATCGCCGAGATGTGCACCGTTCTCAGTGCCGGGCAAGTCCCCTCGGATGAGATTAAGCTCTTCTTCCTGGTGTGCGGCGTGCCGAATCCCGAGGATCTGGCCATCGCCACCATGTCGGCTGAGCATGCGGCCGCCGCTGCCCGGGCCGCTGCCCAGCCGGCGCAAGTTTAATGTGCCCTTCATTGTTCCTTGCTTCTGGAGTCGCTGGCTCCATCACCTCCGGCGCCTCGACCTCTCGACCCACACGCCTTCGCTTTTGGCCCTCTCTGCCCGTGCTCGGGCCTATCTTTCGCCCTTTACAGTCCATACACGCACACGCACACGCACATACACACATAGTGACCCCCAGTCCGGTCCAATTTGTCGCCACCACTCATGAACGTGCGTGCATGAATGTCCGAGTGCGCATGCGCGCGCCCCTGTGAGGGTATGCCGGCGATTCGGCCTGGAAGAGAGAGGGAGAGACAGAGAGGGAGAGACATACGCACCGAAGAGGAGGAGGGGGGGAGGGGGGCAAATCTATTATATTGGAAAAAAAGGTCCACGGGGGGTTCTGTCACATCAAGTTCTAGGAGCCTGTGGACGCTGGGAAGGGGGGGAGGGGGGGGGGGGTAGAAGCAAAAGGGCTCACTTGGGCCGCCACACAACCGTCAGAGGAGTGGCTGCGACTCCGGCGGCACCGGGCCGTCGACACCATCATCATCATCATCCAGGGCCAACAGCGAGGCACTCTGGTAATCCGACCCCGGGGACTGGATGCTCCCCTTGAAGGAGATGGCCCCCGGCGGGCCGAGATCCAGCGCCAGGGGACCCCCCGGGAGCGGCCCGCGCCCGATCAGGCCCGCGCTCGGAGACAGGCTACTGGCATAGAGACTGGAGTAGGGGGACGCATGGCCGGCCGGGGTGGCTCCCACTACGCTAAGCGCCGCCGAACCGCCCGAGGAGAGGGATGTGAAGAGAGACGGCGAGGAGGCGCCGGGGGGGATGACGCCGGAACCGGCGACACCGGCGGGCGGAAGGCCTGGCGACATCGCCAGCGACGAGTAGGCCGAGTTGGCCGACAGGCCGAAGGAACCCATCAGTCCGACGGGCTGCTGACCGGGCGGGCCGCGGAGGGGCGGCCCACCAGCCACCGGGTCCCCGCTGCCGGTCCCGGCGGCGGCGGCACCGGGCGGCGAACTCCGGCTGGCGACCAGAGAATCGCCAGGCAGAGTGGCCACCAAGCTGGGCACGCCGCCACTCCCATGAGCCAGGATGGATGGCGATGCATGGTGCCCGGTGCCGATGATGGACGGACTGGGAGTGATGCCAGGCGCCACGGCAGCGGCGGATCCAGCGACCCCTGGCAGGCTGGCCGGGGTGTAGTAAATGGACGAGCCGGTGGGGTTCAGCTGGGCCGAGGTGATGACCCCATCGTCCGGGGGGTAGGCGACGGCGGCGGCGGCGGCGGCTGCCGAAGCGGCGGCCGCTGCCGCCGCATTGGCCGAACGCTGAGCCGGCCGGGCGGGCAGGCGCTTGCCGATGCGCCGCGGGGCCCCGAGCATGATCAACAGCAGGACCGACGACACGACCAGCGCCAACTCATGGAGCGCATCGCCCACGCACCAGGCAACGAAGTTGTTGAAAGAGGGCACATCGATCAGCATGATGATCGACAGGACAATGCCGAAGAGGAAGCAAATGGCCGTGCCGGTGGTCAGGGCGATGACCTTGCGCAGGGCATTGAGACCGCGATTGCCGCCGGAAATGGCCAACAGCGATGAACTCCGCAAGGTGGCCCGGAAGCCGGAGCCCGAGGAGCCGGGCAGGCCGCCGGGGCCGGCGCCACCACCCCCACCCCCGCCGGAGGACATGCCGCCGGAGGTGCCGCTGCCGCCGATCCAGCTGAAGGCCTTCAGCTGGCGCCGGATCCGGATGGCGTAGTAGATGAAGCCGATGCAGATGACCGTGAAGACGATGGCCAAGTACACCTGGTAGATGGTCCGGTGGCTGTAGGCGCTATTGAGCGAGTCATCAAATGGCACCAGCACATCCACCATCAAGAAGACCACCTCGATGGAGTAGATGGCGATGTTGGATACGATGAAGGGAAGCTGCACCCGACGGAAGAGGAGGTCCTTTTGGTGCTTGGGATTCTGCCCGCGGGCGATGGCCGCCATGAAGTAGGCCGTGGCCCACATCTGCAACACCAGCGTGTACGCCGTGAATGTCAACGGGTAGAAAAGGAACCGGCCAAGGCGCGACGCCCAGCGGGGCATCGGCGGGGGATAGATGTCGGCGGGATCGGTGGAATAGAAAGCCGCGCGGACTATGGCGCAGGTGCACATGAACCGGCAAAGAGTCAGGCCCGAGGGGAGGCAAGTGCAGGGGTGGGGCCTGTTCGAGCATGAACGTGGACATGTATGTGCAGGGGAGGGGGAGGGGGAGGCGGGAGGGGGGCGGGGGGAGGGGGGGGGCGAGGAGGATGGAGGGAGGCGCGAGAGGGGGCTTTGACGGACCGCTGAAGGCCATGAAGAGAACCAGATACCCGATGGTCTGGTGGGTGAACCACTTGGCCGGAGGGAAGCCAGCGGAGTAGGCCTTGAAGAGGAAGACAATAGTGACCAGCATGAGCACCGAAAAGACCACACTAAAGTCGGGGGGGGGGGGTCAGTGGAGCGAGGAGACGAGGCGGGAGTTCGAGGCTTTGGGCCGCATGGGAGAGGCCGACGGAGAGGGAGAGGGAGAGAGAGAGAAGGAGGAGGAGAGAAAGCTAAGAGCAACATGCTGGCGGCGGAGGCGTACACAATCAGGAAGCGATACGCGTCGTAGGCCTTCTGGTTGGTGAGCTCATGGCGTGCCAGTGAACAGTCGGCTGCCCAATCGTAGGGGTAGGGGCAAGTGCAGCGCTGAGTATCGTCGTTGCAGGTGCCGCGGTTGCTGCACTGGTTCGGGCAGCTCATGCCGGACTCCGAGTCAGACCAGTCCGGTGGGTCAATTCCGTAGCAGGAGGATGAAGAGGACGAGCCGGGAGCACTGGAGGAGGAGGAGGATTCCCCTGGGGTTGAAGTTGAGGCATCCGGCGAGGAGGTCGAGTCCGGAGAAGAGGTCGAGTCCGGAGAAGAGGTCGAGTCCGAAGAAGAGGTCGAGGCATCCGGCGAGGAGGTCGAGGCATCCGGCGAGGAGGTCGAGCCCGGCGAGGAGGTCGAGCCCGGAGCAGATGACCCAGATCCCGGACTGGATGGTGCGGAGCCCGAAACCGAAGATCCGTCCTCGGGGAGGGTGGATTCCGATCCGGGTGCGGAGGATCCAGGCTCGGGGGTGGATGATCCGGGCTCCGAAGCTGAGGTAGATGACCCTGCCGGGGGATGCTCGGTGGAGCCGGAAGCCGAGGGAGAAACATCCAGGACGTCAATTGGCACCCATTCCGTGGCCCAAACAGCCCCAGACCAGAGGGGGAAAGTAGTGTGATTCAGGTGTGATGATGATGGGTCGACACCGATCGGGGCCGATACCCGGCGTCCGGGGGCCAAGGAAGCCGGCGACCGGGCGCTAGCCGTCAGGAACAGCATCGCGAGAGCCAGCAGAAGCCCAACGGGCCGGCCGCCGGGGAAAAGGGCGAGGTGCGGCGGCATTCGGCAGGAAAATCGGACTAGGGCAATCAGCGGGCAAAAACCAGAGGAAGGGGCGCGCGCCGGGTGCCTGGCTGATGGACGACGCCCGGGTTTGGGAGAGGAGAAGTGTCAGTTTCACCGGGCGCGCGGGAGGGGAAAAGACAACAAGGAAGCTCGGCAGCTCCGAGTGCATACCATCACAAGAGCGGCCCGCTCAGAGCCGGAGATCCTGCGGGGAGGGGAGGGGGGCGGGTAGCAAGCCGCGCAGGCGCAGCCAGACAAGGCGGGCAGGCGAGGCAAGAGAGGAGGCAGCAGGGGGAGGAAGAGGGGGGCGGAAAGGGGGAGGGCGTCGGGTGATCGGCAGCCGGGGCCCCTCCACGAGAAGAGCCTGAAAAACGACCAACAGCCGCTCGCGCGCGCGCGCGCGCGCGCGCGCGCGCGCGCGCGCGCACTCGGAGGCCCCTCACTCACACAAACCCTTCTTGGGCAGTCCGGGCTCATGTGCGCCTTTGCGCGAGTGTGCATGGGCATGCATGGGCATGCATGGGCTGGTGTATGTGTGTGTGTGTGTATCTCTCTGATCACCGGAGATGCGGGCGTTTCGCAGGGAGGCTCTCCGCCTGCGGCCGGAGCATATGGCTGCGCCGTGCGGTCAGCCCACCACCACCTGCCGTCCTGACGCGCGAGTCGAGGAGCGGCAGAGACGAACATGACCTCTGTCCGAAGACATCCATGCGGATCCGGGCGCGCGGCCCACACGGCCAAGGCAAACCCACCACACAGCGGGAATAATGCCCGCGACAGCGATGTCTCGCCGGCAACAGCAATAACAACAATAACACCATGACCCGGCGCAGGTGGCCCGAGGCGGGCCCAATCCCCCCTCCCCCCGGCGCCGGACAAGCCATCTTGGTACGCCTTCCTAGCCGGGCGTCTTGGAAGGGGGATGGCCCCGACTGTCGGGCGAGGCGGGGATTTAGGTGTGTGGAACGGGGCGGGGGGGGGGGGAGTGAAAAATAAAAAATAATTGCCTCGGCAAGGCGGGCGCGCACCCGCATCAATCGGGCTTCAGCTGAGCAGGCGTGGGCCGGCCCCGATATGCCCGTGCATTGGCCCGGCCCGGCCCGGCCCGGCCCGGCCCGGCCCGGCCTGACCGGACCCAACCAATCGCCGACCGAGCGGGCAGGCCACCCGAGCCTCGTCGCACATCACTCGGCCCTCATGCCGCCCGGGCCGCGCCCTACCCACTCGTGGGTGGGATGGTGCGGGAAGGCAGGAAGCCCCCAGGAACATATAGTGCGCTATCGGACCGGACGGAGGGACTACATCCCCCCCCCCCCCCCGGGCCGAAAAATCGACATGCCCAACGCCGCCGAGGCCTTCCTTCCGGAGGTCTCTCTCCCGGGGGGCGGGGGGGGGGGGGTCGAAGACAAAGGGAAACCCGACCGCTGCGGGAGCGGCGGCGGCCTGCGCGTGATCTGCGCGTGATCTTTCCGATCAGTTGGCAGAACATCTGTGTCCGGCCTGACGCCGTTGTCCTGGAGCCCCGCCGTGCAGCCTGTTGCCCCGCACAGACCGCCGCCGGTATTGATGCACTCTGGCACTGGCAAACAGGCCCCTTTCCGGGGGCAGCTCGGGCGGAGATTCGTAGACTCCAGGATGCGCCTGGTCGTAAGGCGTCTACATCGTTGTTGGTTCGGGGGGGGGGGAGGAGGGGGGGGAGGGGGGCGAGTGGGCGTCTGGCGGCCCGAGCAACCGGCGACCAACACCCAAGAGGGAGAAAGTGGGGCTCGCCGAGCCAGGGCACCAGCCGCCAGGGCGCGGCCCGTTGGAAAGCCCCACAGCACAGGACGCCCCAGGCACTAGGACCCTGGGGCACTGGCCCAACTGGGTGGCCAGGCGATTTCAGTCCTTGCCAGGCACATTCTTGCCCGGGGCCGGTTTTTCCGCGCGATTCGCCCTGGGTTGCGCTCTCTCCGGCGCTGTTACTCCAGAAAAACCTCCCCGGTGCCCGTCCACCAGAGTGGGACCCAGCATCGCCCCTCATTCCCCCTCACCTCGCCTCCAGCCTGCTCTTTTCTTTCCCCCCCCCCTTCCCCCCCTCTCCCCCGCTCCCCGCCCCCCACACACCCACACCCACAGCCACACCCACATACATACATACGCACATCCATCCATCCATCCATCCCAGACAATTGCCACACGTCGCCATGTCTCCCATCCCGATTGAGGACATTACCGTCGAGAAGTCGGACTTCTTCCGGCTCAAAGCCAACGACCTGCTGAAGGCCGGGCGCTACAACGATGCCATCCCCCTTTACTCGCAGGCGATCGACCACCACCCAGCCCCGGCGCCAGCCACCCTCTACACCAACCGCAGCCTGGCCTACTTCAAGGCCGAGCTGCTCGGAGCGTCGCTGACTGACGCCGAGACGGCCCTCTCCCTGGACCCGGGCTTCACCAAGGCCCACTACCGCCGGGGATGTGCGCTGATGGGGCTCTGCCGGTGGTCGGAGGCGGCCGCCGCGCTGGCCACCGCCTCGCGCGCCCTCCCCAAGGATGGGGCCATGCGGGCTCTGGCCAAGGAGGCCAAGCGCCGGGCCACCGAGGCCGCCTTCCTGGCTGCCATCGACTCGGCCGAGGACCAGACGTCCATCATCGACACCATGGACTGGTCGTCCATCGAAGTCGAGAGCACCTACACCGGCCCCCGGTGGGAGGACTCGGAGGAGACCCTCACGCCGGAGTTTGTCAAGCAGGTGATGGACTTCATGAAGGATGGCGGCGTCCTCCACCGGAAGTACCTCTACCGGGTGCGTGGCCCCCTGTTGGCGGGGCAGGCGCCGAGCTCCGGAGGCCCGCAGGGGAGGGAAGGGGAACGGGGGGGTGGGGGGGGGGGGGGGGGGGGGGGGCGGCGATCACGTCAGAGGACACTTTTGCGCCCTTCTGTCCCCGAATGACCTCCTGTCCGGTTGTCTGACCTGCTGCTGGTGGGTGTCCTTTGTTGTGTTCTCCGCTCGGCCCCGTTACCCGCGTCGGCTGTGTAGGTCTTCACCGAGTCGGCCCGGTACCTGCGGTCATTGCCCAGCCTGCTGGATGTCACGGTGTCCGAGGAGGCCGAGCATATCACCGTGTGCGGCGATACCCACGGCCAGTACTACGACCTGATGAACATCTTCCGCATGAATGGGCTTCCCTCGCACTCGAACCCCTATCTGTTCAATGGGGACTTCGTCGACCGAGGCAGCTGGAGTGTCGAGGTTGCCGTCACCATGCTCCTCTGGATGCTGGCTCTCAAGGGCCCGGATGGCCAGCCCGGCAGCTTTATCCCCCTGCGCGGGAACCACGAGAGCCATGACCAGAACAAGGTCTATGGCTTTGAGGGCGAGGTCCTGCACAAGTGCGCATTCATCCATCCTGCCCCTCTTTGCTGGTGCTCCCGGTGCCAGGCTCCTAACGACTCATCCCATCCTTTTGCCGTGTTTCCGTGTGGATGTGCGCGCGCGTGTGTGTGTGTGTATCTGCGTGAATGCGGCCCGGCGCGCGCTCGTGTAGGTACAACCTCCGTGTGTTCCAGTCCTTCACCGAGCTGTTCACCCTTCTCCCCTTGGCGGCGGTCATCGACAGCAATGTCTTCGTGGTGCATGGCGGCCTGTTCAGCCGTGATGACGTCACGCTGGACGATCTGCGTTCGATCAACCGCTTCGGCTCGCAGCCGACCGGCACCAGCGGCAAGTATGCCCTTCTCAGCGAAATGCTCTGGAGCGACCCGATGGATGAGGTGCGTGCCCGCTTGGTCTTGGCAGTCCTGCCTCAGGGGGAGCCTGTTTGGATGACTTCCCCTGGGCCCACATATGCTCTGCCTTTCCCATGCCGCATCCCACTCACATGGACGAACATTCATCCTGCTCCTGTAGATGGGCCGTCTCCCCTCGCGCCGTGGGATTGCCATCCGCTTTGGCCCCGATGTGTCGGCCAAGTTCCTTGACAGCAACGGCCTCAAGTATATGATCCGCTCGCACGAGGTCAAGGACGATGGGTACGAGGTGGCGCATGATGGGCGGTGCATCACCGTCTTCTCGGCGCCGAACTACTGCGACTCCACCGGCAACAAGGGCGCCTTCCTGCGCATCAAGCGCGGCACCAGCGACTACAAGGCCGTCACTTTCTCGGCCGTGCCCCATCCCGACCTCAAGCCCATGGCCTATGCCAAGTCCATGGGAGGCTTCTAAGCAAGTGCAGGCCACCTCTTCGGCTGTGGGGTGCTCCTTCATCTCCCCGGGCGTGCGGGACTTTCCCCCTGTCAGCGAGTTGCACACAATACACGGCTCTCTTGATGGGCGACTTACTTTTCTGCCTTTGCCCCGATTCCCGTTGCTCCTTGCGGCGGGGTGGGTCAGCGGCATGCCCTGCGCTCGCGAACACCGCGGGCCCCTTCCGGCAGCACATGCGCGGGCCGGAGGTCGCCCCAAGGGTGGAAAAGAAAGAGACTGGGCATTTGTATTGAGGAAGTCTATACGGGAAGGGGAAAGCAAGG